AATAATTATTATCAATATACGTGTGTCTGAAAAATATTCCTGAATATGTTAGTTTGGGATTTTTTACGCCATGAAAGCAGTGGATAGAGAAGCTATCGCTACAAGGAAGAACTTAGCATATTTTGGGGCAAAGCCAGATTATCCATTTGTGCCCCACTTTGTATGCGGTGTTAGAGGCTTCTCCTTACTCTTGCTTGGTAATTAGGTATTTCCCTGGTGGAGACCTTTATGTTGCATGGCAACACCAAGCGGGATATTACGCTGCTGAGATACTTTTAGGCTTACCACTAAAGTACTTGCTCATAATGATTATTGTTTACAGGGACCTGAAACCAGATAATGTTTTGGGTAGAGAAGACGACCATATTGTGCTTTTAGATCAAATACGCAAATCAACATCATCTTTTAAGATCAAAATCTATCTAGCACGAATAGAGTGTTATTAATAAATAAATTGTTGTTATTCATTGAGATTCTGAGTTCGAACATGATAAGTACAAGAAGTGTGAATGTTCAATATCAAATGGTTGAGAGTTATTTTTAAATATATTCTACTTTATATTTACCTCATATTAATAATAAAAAATTAAAATCTATCTAAAATTTAAAGATTGAAAATTAGGGTTCCAAAAATCTTACCCAACTTCCACGACCATAGTCATACTAATTTCATAAGTTCTCGTTATCAAGGTTAACTCAGTTTATTTGTTTTACTGATCTTTTCTCAATTTGTATTTGTTTTTTAACACAAATTCGCCAATATTAGCTCTCTCTCTTTAACTTTCTAACCATTCGAATGATGAAGAAGAAGAGTAAATTCAAACTTTTTAATCTATTTTCTCCCCTTTTCCAACAGCGTTTTGGTTAGTGACTCTATAAATTAAGGCGTTATTATATTTAAAAAAAACCCTATTTTTTAAAAACACCTCCCAAAACCAGATTTATTTAAAAAATATCTATTAAATTACTCACGTAGGATGACCTCGCATTCTACAAAAAGTAAAGTTCGACCACGTTATGCAAAAAGTAAAGTTAAATCTCTTGTTTAACGAAAACCGAATTTAATGCATTTATTATTGCCTTTATCCCAAATTAAATGACTCTATATGAAAAAATTGATAGGTCTCACGTCCTATAAAACACGACGTTGATTAAACGTTTTATAAGACACTAGGTAGTCTTATGTGGACAATTTGAGAGTATATTTCTAACTAATATTGTTTGGGTATTTCTCAAAAAAAATAATTTTTGGAGTTTTTTTGTATAATAATGCCATAAATTAAAACCCCCATTATTATTATTATTATTATTATTATTATTATTATTATTATTATTATTATTATTATTATTATTATTATTTAGTGGTCTACGTGTCAATAATCTAACAATGAATCAAATCACTAGTCACTTTTTATGGAATAATCACCATGCAAGGTTCCTTCTTTCAATTTTATTCATTTAACTCCAGTAGTAATCAACAATCTTTAGAATAATGGTTAAAAGATCTCAGTTACGCCTTTTTTCTAGATCATAGGTTTAATATCCATTATGAACAAAATTTTTCTTTCCCAATTCTCTAAATAAAAATTATTCAAAAAAATAAATATTACTTCAATAATAAAACCTCAATTAGAGATTATTTCAATTTACTCTTTTATTAAAAATATAACCATGGATTATTTATCAAATTTATATTTTAATAAAATTTAAATTTTACTAAACACACGAATCAAGCGACTTTGGTAACAAATGAATTGTTATTGTTTTTTGAGTTTCCGGTTTCAAGCACCAGAAACCCCAAAAGTGTGAGTATTCAATGTATATTTTCTACTTAAAATATATTTTTGCCCCCTTTAAATTTTATAAGTTCAAGTTCACCCCTGAAATTTTATAAGCTCAAATTCGTCCCCAACATAAAATCTCATGTCAATCATTTCTCGTACTTATCCCAGATTTATAAAAATATTATCTAACTTTATTTATTTTCAAATTTTCGATAATCGGTTTTGAACTGGTTCTAAGTATTTAGGGCTGTTACATGTTATGATATTACATCTGCCATGATTAAATGATTTCTTTCCAAACCCTATTAACAGTTTTCTTAGTTCAAAATGATGTGTATATAAATATATTGAAAGAGAGGGTTATAACTTAGGATCCAATTACATTTAATATTTAAAGATAATATATGTTTTAAAGATTTTTAATTATTTAATAATAAATATTAAAATATCCTATAATTAATGATGTTTAAATTCGAGACTCCTAAAAATAATAATCATTTTTTAATCACCAAAATAATTTGGTTAGTGAGCTAAATTTACTGCTCATTAAAATGTACATCTACCCGATAAAAAAGGCATAAGCACAAAAATCCTAAGTGAAAACCCTAAGGCTAACCCTAACCCTAATAAAGACGTCAAAAAACAAACTCTGTGGCTCTGTTACTCCCTGAAATCACATTCCTTTTTGAGATCCAAAACTGCACAGGCAGCCGCTACAGGTCTACCCCCAAAGACCAAAAACTAGCCTTTTTACCACATCACATTCACACTAACAAAAGAAAAACAAGAAGGCTCCACAAACATACAATATTAATATTGTATTATTAGTCATCAACATCCCGAAATCTCCTCTTTTGGTCGACTGGATTGTGTGCAACGCGTGTCAATTATCACTGTAAAAAACACATTACCTTTCAATTCTTAAGGGTCCCTTTTTAAGTACGACATGATAAAAAATGCAAAAGCTTTGATTAAGTGTTGTAAAATCTCGCAACCCCAACTTGTCCTGTTGGCTCTTGTTTGGCGAGCTAGAAAATCTTTTGGACGAGACCGGTAACAAATTTTCCTGTCGGGTCCCAAATTCCCATAGGTATCCTACTGGAACACACACACGCTTTAACCCTCTGTCATGGATTTCAGAAAAGGTATAGGGCTATGGTATCGGACCTTAACTCTCCATTGCATTGGTTACATCCTTCTTTTCCTTTCTTTCACGGTTATTTTGAAACATCCAATCTCTGAAAATCCGAAACCTTTTCAGAATGTAATGGAAAAGAAAGAGCAGTGAAGATGTGAGTGGTGTCATTATCTGTCTTCTCTCAATATGAAGCTTGGTTGGAGGTGTAGGCAGCATGGTCGTGCCATGGATACGGTGACAATTACTGGTCTGAAGAGGACATTCATGGACAGCGATTGCAGTATAAGCATGCACTCATCGTCACTCTGGCTACCCATATGGCTTTATCTTAAAAGACTGCTTGTCTTTTGTTAGCATACATATATATATAATATATAATAATATATGTACTACACTTCAAAAAAGCCTCCAACTCAAAAAAGCCTCTAACTCGAAGTTTTATCCTACGTAGGTCACCTATGGACATTACTTTTACAGACCCTTTTTTTAGTCATTTGTAGCACAATTTTCTAACGCAATGGTTCAACGGCAACCAATTTTGGGATTCCAGTTAGAGATGAATCTAGCAGTGTTGAAAGATGATGATCTTCCTTTCGTATAAATTTTTTAATATAAATTTTAATTTTTCTTTTACATATTCATATAAAGTCTTACTTTCGTCTGTGATTCCTTCCGTTCTGCATCAATGGGCTTAGGCTTTTGCAATCTCATCATCTACTGTAATATTTCCTCAAAAATTGTCTATTGTTAACTTTTAAAAAGTCAAAATTTTTAAAATTTTAACTTGATTATTTTAAATATTTTAAAAAATAAATTTTATAAAATATATATTTGAAAATTGTTTGATATCAGTTATAAATTTTAAATAATAATTAGTCAAAATTTAAAAAAATGACAAAAAAAAATCAATAATTGACAGTTTTTATAAGATAGAGAAGTAATAGAAAGAGAAGCCGTACGTACAAGAAGAAACCTTTGGCAATGGCAAATTGTTTGATGCAAAATCATACATGCTTTTAATTTACCCGATTAGGAGATGCATTGCGAGGTAGGTAGGTAGCTACATATACTAAACCTGATAAATCATGCGAGGGCTTTTGCTGCTGTAAATGAAAAAGTACGGTATATACCTCTCCCAGTATTCCCAGTCTCACTTCCTATCCACCTTTAATATAGGGTAAATTATCTACTTGGTCAATCACTTGTTACTTGGTTTCTGTTTTAATCTTTCAACTATTAGTTTTTTTAAAAAATAAATTGTTTTGTTTTGGTTATCATCCATTGAAAAGTTAACGATAATGCTATTGTGTCACTATAAAATAATACTACATCGATACTAAAAAAAACAATAAAAATATCGCATCAACGTCACAGTTATTTTTTTAATAACGAATGACCAAAACAGAAGAAACATGATGTTATATATGATTTTTAAAAAATAATAGTTAAATGATAAAAAAAACTAAATAATAGGTGTGTGACCAAATGAGTGACTTACCCTAATATATATTAATAGAAACTAGGATATACTTATTTTCTTTTAATCGAAATTAGGGAATTTACTGTTAGTAATACTAATTAACTTTTATTACAAGTACTCTAACTAGATAAATTTAAAATCATTAAAAATTTAACATAGCTTTAATATTATACGTATAATATGTATTTACGTATCACTGGCTAGCGATCAATTTGCGGTGCGACTTCACAAAGAAGTGCCAATAGAAACTTCAACAGTATGATTAGTCAGTGGGATGCTAAAATTGCATTTTTTTTTCCAGAATAAAAAATAAAACAATCTATTTTTATATATTAATTATTATATAATAGCGAAATTAAGTTGACTTTTGTTGGACATTTAATGGTTTTCAAAAAAAATTATTTTACAACGTAATTTTCCTTTATGATTGTTTAGACAAAAAAATATTTTCACTGTTTAAAAGCGCCTACGATTGAACTATTCTAACCAATATTCACAAAATTTAAAAAATATCAAAACGAAGATAATATAAAAACATTCAATTCGAAGGAACCAAACCCAAAGACAGTTTCGACGCCATTACACACAAATTACATAGCGTCCATTCACCTCTCACATATGTATGTATATAGTGTCTCGTGTGTCCGGGTATCATCATTATTACAGCATATATATATACACACACACACACACAAATCTTGTAGTTTCAAAGCTTCTCTTATTTGGAGACATTGATCTCTCAAAACAACTAAACATAAGGCATATGGAACAGCAAGTGATCACAGTTGCTGATCCAGATATGGATCACTTGGAGCCTTTGGCCCGCTTAGGTATCCTCCTACGCCAGACGCAATGTTGCTCACCAATGAACTTCCCCATGTTAACCATCCCGTCTGACCTTGCTGATTGCTAGCTTCAAGATTGATTCTCCTTTGCTCCTCTGTGATTATTTCTATCCACTTTTTCGACATGAATTCTTTCACGGCTTCTGCCCCCTTGTTTGCTATCTCAGCTGGAGGCACTATGAGAGGATTCTGGTCCAAATTCAGCTTCACTAATTTCCCGAGGCGGCCGAATGTGTAAGGTAGAACCCGGATTTGGTTGTTGCTAAGATCAAGTTCCCGGAGATCTGTCAGATCGGTAATGGTATCAGGAACTTCTGTAAAGTCATTGAAGTTACTACTCAGGTTCAGGACTTCAAGCTTCGTCAGTCTCCCGATTGCTTGCGGCAAGCCATGAAGCTCGTTGAAATGAGCATCCAGATACCTCAAGGACCTCATTTCACAGATTGATGATGGCAGGAAGCGGATCTTATTTAGATGGATTGACAGCTTTTCAAGATTCAGGAGCCCATATCCAATGTTAGTTGGAAGAAATGACAAGTTGTTAAAGCTTGCATCCAACTCACGCAGTGAGCTGCAAAGGAAATATGAATTTATAATTCAGACAAGACCAAGAACGAAGTCAAGGAAAGAAAAAAAAGCTGGCACCCCCTATATAAATAGGAAAGGTCATAGATCCCATCTCGTTTGACCTATGATACTTAATTTCAGGGATGATTGTAGGACACGAATATGCCCAATTTTTACCCAAGTTTATTCAAATATTTGGAGGACAAATGTACTTCAGCAAAAATGAAGAAGTGAAGTAACATAAGCCCAAGGCAATCTTTCAATCTCATGAAATACAAACTTCGAATTAATTTCCAGAGTTCAGAAACTTTTGTAATTGACTATAATTGAACATTGAGATTTGGATTTGATCTTGTATGTAAGATCAAAAAACTCAAACTTGAATCTATAATCAAAATCAAATTCCAAATTTCGAAAATTTTCATTAACCTTACCTTGCTAAATGCATAACCAAAATTTTCCATGAACTTGTTGTTATGTAGATGCAACAGGACCCAAATTCTTTCAATAAGAAACCAAAAGAAAGATATATTGACTATGAAACTTGTTCTTCAATCTAGAACAAGAGTAGAAAGGTTGAACTTCTATCACAGAGAAACATAAGATCTGTTTGTTGTAGAAATACAGATGTCAAGAGAAAGGCTGAACTTCTATCACAGAGAAACATAAGATCTGTTTGTGGTAGGAATACAGATGTTTAGATAGAATTTACAGTTCTTTTTCATCGTAATGGTTTCGGGTTTAATTTGCTTAAAATGAAAACAGTTTTTAACGGTCAAGGAGGCACTTTAGGGTTCTCAAACGAGGTAGACCTTTTATCTAGGACGCTTTGTTTATTTCACACAAAAGCAATAAGTGGAGAACAAAACCAGCACAAGAGTGGAAAAAGAAAAAACATCCGTGATACCTGCATCGAGCTATGCTTTCAGGGAGAGCATTTAGCTTGTTTCCCGAGACATTAAGGATCCTCAGATTAAGCAACAAACCAATGGAGTCAGGCAGATATTGCAATTGGTTGGAGGATGCATCAAGCTCCTCAAGTTTCTTTAGACCTCCTATTGAATCAGGAATGACCTGGTTCTCATACACCAAGCAAAACAACACTTACAAAAAAGATGAATTCTACATACCCAAAACCAAAGATTCATCATTGTTACACACACAATAACAAATCCTTATCATCATCACTTCAAAAAAAATGAATGAAGCAAAACTACCTATATTGTGAACAGTTACAATTAACAATAACATATATAAAGTAGTGACTAGTGAAGACCTTATCTAACATAAAGAAGCAGCGCATTGCGCAAAAGAGAGTCATGATTCATGAAAAACGAAATATATTTCCAACAGGAAATAAAGCAATTTTAAATCGATTTGATAAACAGAAGAATTGAAGCATGTAATACCTCTATCTGGTTGCTGGAAAGATTGAGATGAACCAATCCATGAAGTTTACCAAAGGCCTCAGGCAAAAGCCTCAGCCCCCTTCCAGAAAGCTCAACTCTTTCAACGACCCCAGTTTCAGCTTCTTCCAGAATCCTCACGACCTCCTCATTCACTTCAATTTCACCTCTCATTTGTTCCACAGCTGAACGGTAGAGACGACCCAAATTCTCCTCCAACTCGGTCAACTGTCTCTCGTAATCCTCGTGCAACGCTTCCAACCTGATCACGGACTTAAATATCTCGGCCTCCTGTGAGGAAGATTGGGTTTCTTGAATCTGGATAATCTTGGAACGGGCAGCGGAGACTGCAGATGGGTCGGGTCGGGGCCCAAGGGAGCGTAGGAGGGAGTGGCTTTGGGTGACGGTGGAAGGGATGGATTGGGAAAGTGAAGAAAGGATTGCCGGGTCGGATAGACGAGGGAAACGGGTGAATAAGTCGATGGAGATGTCGCGAGGGAGCGATGGGTAATTGTAGGGGTCTTGTTGGGAGCAGATGTAAGAGAGAATCGGAAACTTTGAAAGAGTGGGATCCATCAAAAGCCGTCTTCAAGAAAGACGAGATGGGAGAAAACGGAATTTGGGGGAGCATCGCAGGTAAGGTGACGACTAACTGCTGATGAGCACCGTGTCTGGCGGTGGTGAATGCCAAATGTTGTTTACCTCGTCGTGTGCTGTATTGCTTGACCTGGTTTAGCGGTTTCCTTTGTTCACATCCTGCACTGTTGTTTGATGGACCTCTCTCTCTCTCATTTGGGGCTTGTCTTCTTTCATTAACAGGATATGGTAGTTTGGGCTGGGTAAAATTGACCCAGTAGTCTTGGCAGTGGCCTCAGAAACTAAGAGGATTTGGGAGGAAAACCAGGCCAAAGAGACTTAAGGTTTCTTGGCACTGGTAGATTTGGTTTTCTGGTCATATTCCTAAGCATAGTGTTGTGGATTGGATAGCCATTCTTAGTAGACTGCCTACTAAAGAAGGTTGCGATGGGATATCCCATAGATAACGTGTGCAATAATGTTATGAAGACCAGGGATCATCTTTTCGCTGCTTGTTTATTTGCTAATTGCTTGTGGGTTGATACTTTGCGATTGTGCTCAGGGGTGGGTTGTTAAACCGTGGAATGGTGTGCTGGATGGATAGTGAGTTTCCTTAAGGGTAAGTCTCTTCATAATGTCATTCTTAAAATTGCTTGTGGGCTTCTGTCTATTTGTTGTGGGAGGAAAGGAATCACATGATTTGAGGGAGGTTTCGATCTAATACTGTGAGTGAATTGTTGCAGATTGTCAAGTTCATGGTGCAGACTCAGTTAAGGAGCAAGAATATAAATGGAGCTGATAGGATAAATGCCAATTTTGTAGTAGTTGGGGCATTTTGTAGTCTGGTGGTTTTTTGTTGTTTTTTCAGGGATAATGTTGCCTGTTATTTGTAGCAGTAAAACTACTTTCTTTGGGTAATGAATAAACTTATCAAAAAAAATCCTATAGGTCAGTGGGTAAAAAATTAGCTCATTAGGTCACCTCTAAATTATTTTGGGATTTAGGACAAATGTTACAGTGTAGAGAAAACTCATCACACTCATACAACGAGTTTGCCCGAATAACATTTTTTATCCAAATTATCACATCAACGAATGAGTTCTGAATTACTATAGCTAATATTGTAGATCACAACTTAATTTTAGAGATGGTTTAATGGACATTTTTTTACCCACATGGCCTATTGGACCAAATTAGCCAAGGGCATCGGTCGGAATTTTTATAGAAATTGGATCACCCAACCGTACCACATTATTGCTATCAAGCAATGAATGTATGTTCAAACACCATTTTCAATTAAATTACACCGAGATTTAATTACTCTGTAATGTTCGAACACATTTTATATGAATTTCAATTAAAGATATGTACGTTTATATTTGTAGTAATATAATGATATTAAATGGAGTTTCATGCCGTAAACTAATTAGATAATAGACTAGTTCACTTTCGTACTTCAAAATATATTTGATTTGGTGATGGATTTAAAATTATTTTTTAGGACGAATTATATATATTAACAAGTTATCTTTTTTTATTAATTAGGACGTGATGTTTTAGAGGACACACCATTGTCTCATCGTTTCTCTTATTTAAATGAAACGGTAAACTACTTTATGATTTTCTGATTATAAGATTGATGTCGATATGATAATTACTTTTAAAATTTTATTAATATGATCATTTAATTATTTAATCAATAATAATATAAAAATATGTCTTTCAAAAGTGATTACGTGGTAATTAATAAAATTAATATAATTACATATTTGAACTTTTATATTTATACATTCAATCAATTTATCTTAATTTTAATTTCTTTATTAAAATTTATTTCTATTCAATAAAAATGTGACATGTTCTTTACATAAAATATGCATTTGTGAAGTTTGAATTTAAGACACTTGGATAGAGGAGGGATACTAAAACCACTTGGTCAAATGCTTCATTTGATTAAGCATTGCAATAAATTTATTATCGTGTATTATGTTAATGATAGAAAAACAAACAAATAAAATAATTTAAATGATAATTCGAACCTAAACCAATTGTGAAAATAAGAGCGCCTAAACTAATTAAGTAAATATGATTTTTATAATTAAATAGATTTTATATATTATAAATCAAATTTAATACAATATTTAAAATTAAAATTAAAATTAAAATTATTTTTTATAGTATTAAATTAAATTCAATATTTTTTATATTATGTTTTTGTTTTTACATTTCTAAATTAAATTCAGTATTTTTTTCATATTTATATTTCTAAAAATAAGTATAAAAATTTTAAATTTAGTTTAAAAATAAAAAAAAATTAATATTAAATCTTGTATTAAATACTAAGGTGATTATAAAGTAATATTTCTCTAAATACTCTCAATAATTTGACAATGAACATTAAATCACCCTGTTAATGCTCGAACCTATGACTTCTACGAACTTCAACGATTCCTTTAACTATTGAGATAAATTAGTTCATGCGATACACATATATTTTATAATTGACCTAAGTTTGAATCATCATTTAAATTATTTTATTTCTTTGTATGTCTATCATTAACAATAGAATAAGTTTGGATCATCATTTAAATTATTTTACAAATATTTATTCAATCAGAAGACAACACGTTATCGTTTGATGAATAAAATATAAATAAAAAATTTATAAAAAAAATCCAATCATGACATTGTCAACTGTGACACATGTCAAAAATAATATAATCTCTTAATTGTTAAGGGTTAATTTATTAAATTAAGGGTCTATTTATTTTTCGTAAAATAAATTATGAAATTGATTTTTTCCGAAATCCCGTATTTATTTCACGTAATTTGTTTTTCGGAAAATGTTTTATCGTGTTTGTTTCACGTAATTCATTTTCCGGAAAATATTTTCCAGTGTTTAGTTGGAGGAAAATTGGTTGATCAACGTAAAACATTTTTCTGGTCAACATAATTTCCTTTGTATTTTCTGAAAAATGACTTACGGTCTAATTTTCCGTAATCATTTTCCGAACTTTTCACTTCAAAGAATAATACTCAAAATAATTTATTTTATAAATTTAATATTAATAAAATATTTATTATCATTTAATCAAAATATTAATTATTAAATATTTAAATATTATTAATATTTCTAATAATATAATATTTAATAAAATAATCAATTATATTATAATAATATAGGTTATTATATTTTTATTTTAATAATATATAATAATTATTAATAAAATTTATATTATTTATTAATTTCATAGAAATATATTATTAAATTATTAATAATGAATAATTTTATTTATATATTTAATATTAATCTAATAATCTATAATATTTAATAAAGACATTTAAAATGTACTAATTAATATTTTAAAATATAATAAACACTATACTTTAATAAATAATTAATATAATTTATAATATTTTTATTTCAATAAAGTATACCAATATTAATATTTTTATTAATAAAATTATAAAAAAAATATTTAATTATAAATAAATTATTTTAATTTTTTAAAATTAATAATATTAAATTTTATGATAAATAATATTATTTATTGTATTTAATATTTATAATAAATAATTTTTAAAAAATTTATTAACTATTAAAAAAATATTTAAACAACATCTTCCAAACATCATATTATTATGTTTTTAAGATATTTTTCAAAAAAATATTTTTCATTTTACGAAAAATATTTTGTTGAAAACGTTTTTTAAAATTGTAATTCATTATGATAAAGCACACAAAACGTAATATTCTATTAAAGGCAAAAGGCAAAAAGATCAGAACAAGAAATAAAAATGAAGAAAAGGATGATAATGCCCGCGAAAATATTACACGCGTGGACCACACGTGTTGAACTTAACGATGTCGAGGATAAGAAGGAGGAGGTGGCAAGAGAATTCTGGAACCTGCTTTGATGATTAAGCGCGAATGGAGATTGAGCAGAAGGGTAGAATTGTTATTGGGGGAAGCTGAGAGAAATTGAAGTTCAGTGGAACTCGACAAACAAAAACATTCCCAGAGGAGAAAAACTTGGGAGATGATGGAAAACGAATATAGGAGCTGAGAATTCATTAATGGCTACTCATTAATCAAAACCAGTTCTTCTGAAGGGATATGCATTTTCAGATACAAACATCATATATGGTTTTAAGTTATTTTGCTTCTTCTATGGGTAGTATTGAGCATTAATTGTTCTTCGCTGAGGATCATAACTGGCTAATAAATCACATGATCCTTCCATCTTCTGCTATGCCTGTAATTCCCGCTGTGAACAAGGTAAATGTGACTAGGTTGGCCATGGTAACCGTAGCAAGGAATCATCTTCCCCGCCGATTTATTAGAGCAAAGAGGGAAAGCTACGGGAGTCCTCGGGATCTGACGTATGCAGGAATCTGGGACTGGATGAAGACGAATCGATGACGAAGTCGGCGAAGAAACGATTTTCTGGGCGGCTTTGGCGGCGAACAAATCGATTTTCTGGCCGGTTTCAGCGGCGAAGGAAGGCTCTGATCTTTAAAGAAGACGGCGGCGATGCAACACGGTCGTATTCCTCGACGAGATTCGCGATATCTCATCGGAAGTGATCGAAACCACGCGTCTAAATCCTCCGTCGGCAACTGGCAACGTAGACTCACTGGTGACCCGCACCATCTCCCATCTTCAACGATAACTCTGTTTATTATATCATTCTTTATCATTCTTCCATGCTTAAAACAACCTCGATTTAACTTAAAATTATTCTAATAATAAATAAAGTTGGTGAATAAAAGGATGGAAGAGAACTAACCAGCAAGGAAATGGACCGTCAACGGCGAGTGCACGGTTTCACCGCCATGATAACGAAGTTTTCCGTCAGTGTAACGAGGGACGATTTTCCCGCCGTAACAGCAGATGAATTTGATGGTAGAGTTAGTTCCGACCATGCTTTTTGGTGGATTGAGTACGATAGATAAGAGATCCAATGTTTGTGAACAGAAGAGAACAGTATATTTGTAGCTTTCGGCGGCGGATGAAGACGACG